AAGAAATCAGAGAAACATCACCCTTTACAACAGCCACAAATAATAAAAGTACCTTAGTGTAACTCTAACAAGTGAAAGACCTGTATGAAAAAGAATTTTAAGCCTTTGAAAAAGGAAATTGAAGAAGATATCAGAAAATGGAAAGATCTCCCATGCTCATGGATAGGTAGAACTAGCATAGAAAAATTTCAACCTTACCAAAAGAAAAGTCTACAAATTCAATGGAATACCCATCAAAATCCCAACACAATTTTCCACAGGCCTGGAAAGAAAAATACTCAACTTCTTATGGAAAAACAAAAAACCCAGGATAGCTAAAACAATCTTGGACAATAGGCAGCTTCTGGAGGCATCATCATCCCTGACAACAAGCTCTTCTATAGAGCTACAGTAATAAGAACAGCTGTGTATTGACATAAAAACTGAAATGCATATGAAAGGAATCAAATTGAAGACCCTATTATTAATCCACACACTCATGAACACCTGATTTTTTACAAAGAAGGCAAAACTGTACAGTGAAAAAGAGAAAGCATCTTCAACAAATGGTGCTGGCATAACTGGATATCAACGTGTAGAAGGCTGCAAATAGATCCATATCTGTCACCATGCACAAAACTCAAGTCCAAGTGGATCAAAGACCTCAACATAAATCCAAAGTTACACTGAACTGGATAGAAGAGAAAGTAGAAAGTAGTCTTGAATGTATTGGCACAGAAGACTACTTCCTAAATATAACACCAATAGCACAGACACTGAGAATAACAATTAATAAATGGGACCTCTTGAAACTGAGAAGCTTGTGTAAGGCAAAGGGCATGGTAAATAAGACAAAAGAACAGCCTACAAAATGAGAAAAGATCTTCACCAACCCCACATCTGACATAGTGATGATCTCAAAAATACATAAAGAACTCAAGAAACTATATATCAAAATACCAAATAATCCAATTTTAAAATGGGCTACAGAGCTAAACAGAACTCTTAACAGAAAAATCTCAAATGTCCAAAAGACATTGAAGGACGTGCTCAACATCAGAGAAATGTAAATCAAAACAACTCTGAGATACCACTTAACACCTGTCAGAATGACTAAGATCAAAAACATTGATGACAGCTTATGTTGGAGAGGATGTGGAGCAAGGGGAACACTCCTCCACTATTGGTGGGAACGCAAACTGGTATAGCCACTTTGGAACCACTTTGGTGGTTTCTCAGAAATTTAGGAAACAATCTTCCTCAAGACCCAGCTATACCACTCTTGGGTATATACCCAAGGAATGCTCAATCACACCATAAGGACACATGTTCATCTATGTTCATAGCAGCATTATTTGTAATAGCCAGAACCTGGAAACAACCTAGATGCCCTTCAACCAAAGCATGGATAAAGAAAATGTGCCACATATACACAATGGAGTACTACTCAGCAGGAAAAAAAACTGACATCATGAGGTTTGCAGGCAAATGAATGGAACTAGAAAATATCATCCTGAGTGAGGTAACCCAGACTCAGAAAGACAAACAAGGTATGTACTCACTCATAAGTGGTTACAAAATGTAAAGCAAAGGATAACCAGACTACAACCCACAGCTCAAGATAAGCTAGCTAACAAGGAGAATCCTAAGAGGAATTCATGGATTGCCCTGGGAAGGGGAAATAGATGAGATCTCCATAAGTAAACTGAGGGTGAGGGGGATAGTAGAGGGTAGGGGATAGGGGATAAGGACATAAGGGAACAGGAGGTTCGAGCTGGAACAGGGACATAGTGGGAGAGCAATTAAAGAGACACCATGATAAAGGGAGACATCATGGTGATAGGAAGAAACTGGATGCTAGGGAATTTCCCAGAAATCCACAAGGATGACCCCAGCTTAGACTACTAGCAAAAGTAGGCAGGGTGTCTGAACTGGACTACCCTGTTAATCAGATTGGTGAATACCCTAACTGCCATCATAGAGCCTTTCTGCAGTAACTGATGGCAGCAGATGCAGAGATCCACAGCCAAGCACCAGGGCAAGCTCTGGGAGTCCAGTCAGAAAGAGGAAAGAGGGATTCTATGAGCAAGGGGCATCAAGATCATGATAGGGAAACCTACAGAGACAATTAAACCAAACTAGTGGGAACTCATGTACTTTAGAACAACAGTTGTGGAGCCTCCATGGGACTGGACTAGGTCCTCTGCATAAGCAATATAGTTGTGTAGCTGCATTTGCTTAAGGGGCCCCCTGGCAGTAGGATCAGGATCCATCCCAGGTACATGAGCTGGCTTTTTGGAGCCTGATACCTGTGGTGAGACATCTTACACAACCTTCACGCAGGGGGATGGGCTTAGTCCTGCCTCAACTGAATGTACCAGGCTCTAATGACTCCCACAGAAGGTCTCAACTTGTTGCAGGAGGGAATGGGAGGTGGGTTAGGAGGGAAGTCTGGTAGAGTTTGGAAGAGAAAAGAGAGGGGGATCTGTGGTTGGTATGTAAAATGAATAACAATTTTCTTAATTAAAAAAAGAAATGTACTCTACATCTCTTGCTCATATAATCCCTCCTCTCTCTCACTGGTTGGACTCCTGGAGCTCCACCTGGGGCCTGACCGTGGATCTCTGCATCTGCTTCCACCCAGTACTGGATGAGTTCCATCATGACAGTTAGGGTGTTTGGCCATCTGATCACCAGAGTAGGTCAGTTCAGGCACTCTCTCAACCATTGCCAGTAGTCTATAGTGGAGGTATCCTTGTGGATTTCTGGGGACTTCTCTAGTACTTTGCTTCTTCCTATTCCCATGGGGTCTTCATTTATCATGGTCTCTCTTTCCTTGTTCTCCTACACTGTTCCTGATCCAGCTGGGACCTCCCACTCCCCTAAGCTCTCTTTCCCCCAACTCATGCCCTCCATTACCCCCCTCTCCCCCAGTTTGCGCATGTAGATCTCATCCATTTCTCTGTTGCTGGGCAATCCCTGTGTCTTTCTTAGGATCCTCTTTACTAGGTAGCCTCCCTGGAGTTGTGAGTTGCAGTCTGGTTAACCTTTGCTTTACATCGAGTATCCACTTACGAGTGAGTACATACCAAGTTTGTCTTTCTGAGTCTGGGTTACCTCACTCAGGATGATATTTTCTAGTTCCATTCATTTGCCTGCAAACCTCATGATGTCATTGTTTTTCTCTGCTGAATAGTACTCCATTGTGTATATGTACCACATCTTATTTATCCATTCTTCACTTGAAGGGCATCTAGGTTTTTTCCAGGTTCTGGCTATTACAAATAATGCTGCTATGAACATAGATGAGCATGTGTCCTTGTTGTTTGATTGTGCATTCCTTGGGAATACGCCCAAGAGTGGTATAGCTGGGTCTTGAGGAAGACTGATTCCCATTTTTCTGAGAAACCACCATACTGATTTCCAAAGGGGCTGTGTAAGTTTACACTTCCACCAACAATGTAGGAGTGTTCCCCTTGCTCCACATCCTCTCCAGCATATGCTGTCTTTGATGATTTTGATCTTAGCCATTCTGACGGGTGTAAGGTGGTATCTCAGAGTCATTTTCATTTGCATTTCCCTGATGATTAAGTATGTTGAGCAATTCCTTAAATGTCTTTCAGCCATTTGACCTACTTCTGTTGAGAATTCTCTGTTTATCTTTATAGCCCATTTTTTAACTGGACTGTTGGATATTTGATGTCTAATTTCTTGAGTTCTTTATATATTCTGAATATCAGCCCTCTGTCAGATGTGGGGTTGGTGAAGATCTTTTCCCATTCTGTAGGCTGTTGTTTTGTCTTATGGAGACCATGACTGGAAAAAGCACAGGGACAAAGAGCCAAACCAGCAGAAACACATGAACTGTGAACCAATAGCTGAGGAGCCCCCATGGAACTGGACCAGGCCCTCTGGATAAGTGAGACAGTTGATAAGCTTGAACTGTTTAGGAGGCCCCTAGGCAGTGAGACCAGGACCTGACCTTAGTGCATGAGCTGGCTTTTTGGAACCTAGGGCCTATGCTGAGATACTTTGCTCAGCCTTGGTGCAGAGAGGAGGGGACTTGATATGCCTCAACTGAATCTACCAGGCTGGGCTGAATCCCCAGGGGAGACCTTGCCTTGGAGGAGGTGGGAATGGGGAGTGAATAGAGGGGGAAGACTGGGGGGTGGGAGGAGGGAGGACAAGGGAATCCATGACTGATATGTAAAATTAAATTAATTATAAAATAAAAATATTTATTAAAAAAGAAAAAAGAAATGTAGAATAGTACATGAATTCCCTTTTCCCTTCTTTGATTTCTTTTGGTTTAGTTTTTTTCTTTATGACCTCTTCCCCTTTAAGAGGTAGCCAGAACATTTTTATAGCCATACCCACCAACAGCCATAAAAAAGCTGACAGGTAATGCTTTGTATGACTCTTCTCGACTTTATGGCGCTGAGAAAAAAAGCCTTGTAATCTTGTTATTGCCAAAGAATTGCTGTTTTATGTGCTTATAAACTGGAAACATTTGAAACTTGAGGCAGAACAAAAAAGGGACATGACTGGACATCATTTGTGTGAATTTTTTCTTTACCACTGAGATTAGAAATATCCTAAATTCCCTTGGCCTCACTATGGCTTCTCACCTGAACCCAGGAGGTGGCCCTGCAGAGCTGAACTCCAAGGCCACCAATGCTCCACACTCCAATGCCTTTCCTATGTCTGGAAAGAAAAAGGGCAAATGATCATGCACTGATTTTTCTTACTCTCAGAGTTAAATTAATCCTCTCCTCAGTGTTGATTCAGCACAGGGATGAAACTTAATAAAAAAGGAAATTAATTTATCACTTGAAATGTTTGCCATTAGAGAAATGTATGGAAAAATAAACAATCCCATTGCCAAGATTAAGGCAACAAAAATTTCTCTTATTGACAGTTGTTTTGTATATACTGATGAGTCCCATGTAAAGAACCAGAAATCATTACATTGGGAAACAATTTACATAGTGATCAATGCAATGACATAAAATTCAACCCACCTCTGTAAATCCTGTGGCCCACTGTATCATATGATCAGACAGAAACAGTTGTTGACTCTGCGGAGCTTTTGGAGAAAATGTTCCAACTTTCATATTTTGTCTGAGACCAGTTGGAAAATTCCAGACATTGAGAATATCATACTTTTCCTCTAATTTCATTTGTGAATCCAAAACCACGTGGTGTCCAACACTATTTATGAAATTGATTTGCTTGAGAAAAGGGAGAAGCTAAAAGAAATGTAAAAACTTATGATGAATATAGTCCCCTAAAAGTTCTACTAAACCAAATAAAACAGAATCTCTAATTGACTTTAATCCCTGAGGTGAAATGCAAGTTACAACAAGCTATTATTATTTTAATGATGAAAGCTTCCAAAATGACACAAGTATAATATTTCTAGACTGTCAGTGAGTGTTAAAAGAAAGCAATGGCACATACAGTCACACACACAGGCAGGCACACACACACACACACACACACACACACACACACACACACACATGCTCACACACAAAAAAATAAACAAATAAAAACAAAACACCAGGATTACTCAAGAATGCTGACTGTGTCAAATATTCAAAATTGACAAATGTGAACCACTAAAGAAAAAGTTCAATTCTCAGTTTGCAAAATTTGATGTTGATCTCCAAAGTGTAATTAAAAGGTCAGTTAGGTAACATAGCTATTGCTTCAGTATTTTAACCTTAAGGGTCTAGTAGCATTTGACTATTTAGGATCTACTTTTCCTATTTCCGTTCAGAAATGTATTTAGGGATAATGGGGTATCAAATTAACATGATCCTGTTACCAAGAAAAGATTCCGAGGTTATTTTTATCACAAAGTGGATATTGACATACATACATTTTAACTGTGCTATTGCCATCCATTCAGTGTGGACAATGACATCTGTCTGCAATGATATTTAGACAAGAACCTGCATTGACTCTTTCATGTCCTTTTTGGTAAAATCTGCCACGAAGTACAATATTGTATTGAGTGTTTTTACTAAGCCTCAGTATGTCACAGTGCTATTGTTAAAATACACAGGAAGAGAAATTACCTTCCAGGGGTGGGCATTCCACTCTTCATTCCTATAAGACTGAATTTGTACTTGTTTGACAGTCATCTCATGGAGACTGTGAGCCACATCATACACAGAATTATATATGTTGTAAGCCTCTTCAGTCATTTCCATTTTCCACAGATTTGAAGGAAATAATTCCAAAGAAGCATTGAATAGACAATGACCTGATATTTTACAGTCAGGTAAAGATAAAGAGCAATTAAAGAAAGTATTCCACAAATTATTAAGACAATGGTCTTCTGGGTATTTAGAAGGAATATATGTATGGATAAATTTTCTAAAAAGAGAAATCTCATCATGATGGTTTCCAAAAAAAAGAGTGCCATGAAATGAACCATAAATCAGAGGTTCTATAATGGTACCAACATACAATTGTGAATTCATGACCAAAACTTTCCATGTGTTTAAGAAATATATTGCATATGGCATTATGCCATACACAAATTCCGTATCATCATAAATGATAACCACATTTGCAGGTGATATCAAGAGCAACCGAGAAGTTTCTTTGTGTGCATATTCAAAGTAAATCAAACTTTTTGACATCATTTTCACAAAAGTTACACACATATTATTCCTTTGAAACTCTTTCATAAAATCTGATAGAATCTGAATTCCTTTATGGTTACCCATGAGGAACAATCCCACCCAGGTCCAGCTGAAATGAAGCATCAAAGAGACAATGCCAAATGACAGAGATGTATCCTTTGAAGCTGTCTGGTAGAGAGAAGAAAACTGGCCTCTGTCACTCAGGATAGTGTCAAATGGCCCAAAACTAAGCTGAAGGGATTATCAAATCAGAAACAAGAATGAAAATATTGATATAGAACACAAACTTACACCTGAAGAAGCACTTGGGTTCAGTAGGGACTAACTTGTCTTCATGGTATTTTAAAATCCCATCTCATTCCTCAAGACATATTGAGAGTTCCTGACAAGACACAGAGTTATCTAAATAGGCTCTGTGGGCTACAACCTCTTCACCTTCTCCATCTAAAGGCAAAGTATATGAGACTACATAACCAAACGCCTGGCTTCTCTTAGACAAGCAATGAGCCTCTCTCCTCTACATGAGATAACACCTAAAATATTTGCATTTCGGTACTGTTTACTTGCTCCCTCATGGCCACATCCCTCACCTGTGGATATTTGTAGAGATTTAGCAGTCTCCCAATATGGCTAGTTGTTTCTTGTGATGTTCCTGTAAGTAGAGCAGCAGCTCTGTTCTCCCTTCTGCATGTGTAATTAGGAATTTTGATTCCCATTTCTGTGAGCCAAAGAAAAGCTTCCCTGAGAAAATCCCATTCATATTGATCAACATAATAGAGATTCCACAATCCTAGAGATGTGTTGGGTAAAAGATGAGGGTTCCTGTTGATCTCCTCAATGGCAAAGATGAAGGCCAAAGAACACTGGTAGTTCTTCAACTTGAACCTGCATAGAAGTTGTGTAAATATTGTTAAAGTGGACCCATTCCATACTGCGTTACCAGTTTGATGCAACTGCTTTTATAATTTTAATGTCAATTTATACTAACAAATAATTTTATGTAAGCCCAGGAATGGTTATAATTTGAATGTGCAGCACATATTAAGCAATAGTTTCCTTACCTAAAAGTCTTGAGTAGGTCTACAATCACTGGGAGAAAAGCTGAGTTGAACAGATAGCACTGGTGATATCTTCGAATAAGGAGATCCACATGGCAGACCCACTAGTGTTTTGACACTTTAGGGAAATTATCATCCAATGAAATCTTTCATTTTGAGAACCTATTCTGACTCTCCAAAATTGTCCCCATAGCTTATGGTTATGAATTAGCTATAAAAGAACATTACTCCTAAACCAGAAGATTTTTCTCATACTGTATATTGAACTTTCTTTCCTCTAGCAGTTGATAGGAACAGATAAAGAGATGCACAAACATTAGGCTAATCTCAGGGCACCCAGCAGAAGAGGAGGAGGAAGGATTGTAGGAGCCAGAGGTGTTGAGGACAGCAGGAGAACCAGACCCAAAAGGACAATCAAAAAGCAGGACTCATAGGGGCTTAGAGAGACTGAAGGAGCAAACCAGGTAGCCTGCATGGGTCTGTGCTAGGCCCTCCACATATATGCTGTTGTTGTTATCTTGGAGTTTTGTTGGAATCTTAACACTGGGAGTGAAGTGTCTCTGACTCTGTTTCTACCTCCTGAGATAAATTTCTTTCTACTAGTGAGTGAGAAGAGTGGAGCTAAAGGAAGCTGTAGTTTTGATGTATTGTATATTATAAAATTATTTTTTAAGAGAAAGATTAATTTGTATCTGTGCTTTTAAATCTAATATATGCATATAATAATGTATATGTCGACATAAATCATGTTACTGTTTTTAATGGTTTTTCAAACATTTTTATTAAGGAAATTTTTTAATTCATTTTACATACCACTCAAAGATCCCCCTCTTCTCTCCTCCTGCCCCTCAACCTCCCCCTCCCAAGACACCCCTACTCCCTCCCACAAGAAGGTAAGGCCTCCCATGGGGAGGTACATTTAGTAGAGTCAGGTTCAAGCCCCTCCCCCTGCCTAAAGGCTATGCAAGGTGTCCCATCATAGATAGTGGGCTCCAAAAAGCCTGCTCATGCAGCAGGGATGGATCCTGATCCTATTGTCAGGGGCCTCCTAAGTAGATCAAGCTACACAACTGTCTCACAATGCAGAGGGCAAACCAAATCCAAGAATACATCAAAAGTTATCCACCATGACCAAGTAGGCTTCATCCCAGACATGAAGGATGGCTCAACATATGAAAATCTGTCAATGTAATCCACCATATAAACAAACTGAAAGAAAAAAAACACATGATCATCTCATTAGATGCTGCAAAAGCCATTGAAAAATTCAATACCCTCTCATGGTAAAGGTCTTGGAGAGATCAGGAACACAAGGAACATACCTAAACATAATGAAGGCAATTTATAGCAAGTCAGCAGCCAACATCAAATTAAAAGGAGAGAAATTCAAAGTGATCCACTAAAATCAGGAACAAGACAAGGCTGTGCAATCTCTCGATATATACTCAATATAGTACTTGAATTTCTAGCTAGAGCAATAAGACAACAAAAGGAGATCAAGGGGACAAAAATTAGAAAAGAAGAAATAAAACTTTCACTATTTGCAGATGATATTATAGTGTACATAAGTGACCCCCAAAATATAGGGAACTCCTATAGCTTATAAACATCTTCAGTAATGTGGTAAGACACAAGATTAACTCAAAAAAATCAGTAGCCCTCCTATATATAAATGATAAATGGGATGAGAAAGAAATCAGAGAAATATCACCCTTTATAGTAGGCACAAATAATATAAAATACATTGGGGTAAATCTAACTAAGCAAGTGAAAGACATGTATGACAAGAACTTTAAGTCTCTGAAGAAAGAAATTGAAGAAGATATCAGAAAATGGAAAGATCTCCCACGCTCATGGATAGGCAGGATTAACATAGTAAAAATGGCAATCTTACCAAAAGCAATCCACAGATTCAATGCAATCCCTATCAAAATCCCAACACAATTCTTCACAGACCAGGAAAGAACTATACTCAAATTCATATGAAAAAAAACAGGATTGTGGTGGTATTGTGTTCCCCAAAATATTGTGTACCCTAATAAATTTATCTGGGGTCAGAGAACAGACAGCCACTAGATAAAAAGGCTAGAAAATGGTGGCACTCACACCTTTAATCCTAGCACTCCAGAGGTAGAAATAAATCCCTCTGGATCTCTGTGAGTTCAAGGCCACATTGGAAATGGCCAGGCATGGTGACACACACCTTTAATCCCAGAAAGCGAGCCTTTAATCCCAGGGAGTGATGGTAGAAAGGAAAGATATATAAGGCATGAAGACCAGAAACAAGAAGCATTTGGCTGGTTAAGCATTTGGCTGGTTAAGCTTTCAGGCTTCTAGCAGCACAGTTCAGCTGAGAGCCATTCGGATATGAGGACACAGAGGTTTCCAGTCTGAGGAAACAAGACCAGCTGAGAAGTTGGTCAGGTGAGGTTAGCTGTAGCTTGTTCTGTCTCTCTGATCTTCCAGTGTACACCCCAATACCTGGCTCAGGTTTAATTTTATTAATAAGAACTTTTTAAGATTCATGCTATACAGGATAGCTAAAACAATCCTATAAAATAAAGCCAACTCTGGAGGCATCACCATCCCTGACATCAAGCTCTACTATAGAGTTATACTAATAAAAACATCTTGGTACTAGCATAAAAACAAATGGACAAATGGAAACAAACTGAAAACCCTGACATTAACCCACACACCTATGAACACCTGATTTTTGACAAAGAAGCCAAAACTGTACAATGGAAAAAAGAAAGCATATTAATAACTGGATGTCAACATGTAGAAGATTACAAATAGATTCATATATGTCACCATGCACAAAACTCAATTCCAAGTGGATCAAAGATCTCAATATAAATCCAGTTACACTGAACCTGACAGAAGAGAAAGTAGGAAGTAGTCTTGAACACATTGGCTCAGAAGTCTACTTCCTAAATACAACACCAGTAGCAAAGACACTGAAAGCAATAATTAATAAATATGACCAAACAAAACTGAGAAACTCTTGTAAGGCAAAAGACACAGCAAATAAGACAAAAGGACAGCCTACAGAATGAGAAAAGATCTTCACCAACCCCACATCTGACAGAGGGCTGATATCCAAAATATATAAAGAATTCAAGAAACTAAACATCAAAATAATAAATAATCCAATTAAAAATGGGCTACAGAGCTAAACAGAGAACTCTTAACAGAAAAATCTCAAATAGTCAAAAGACATTTCAGGAACTGTTCAACATCTTCTGTCATCAGAGAAATGTAAATCAAAACAACTCTGAGATACCACTTACACCTGTCAGAATGGCTAAGAAAAAAAAACATTGATGACACCTTATGTTGGAGAGGATGTGGAGCAAGGGGAACACTCCTACATTGTTGGTGGAAGTGTAAACTTATACAGCCCCTTTGGAAATCAGTATGGTGGTTTCTCAGAAAAATGGGAATCAGTCTTCCTCAAGACTCAGCTATACCACTCTTGGGCATATACTAAAGGAATGCTCAATCTTACCACAAGGACACATGCTCAACTATGTTCATAGCAGCATTATTCATAATAGCCAGAACCTGGAAACAACCTAGATGCCCTTCAACTTAAGAATGGATTAAGAAAATGTGGTACATATACATAATGGAGTACTACTCAGCAGAGAAAAACAATGACATCATGAAATTGGCAAGCAAATGTATACAACTAGAAAATATCATCCTGAGTGTGGTAACCCAGACTCAGAAGTACAAACAAGGTATGTACTCACTCATAAGGGGATACTAGCTGTTTTTAAGGATATTACTGACCACTACAGACTCATTAAAAACAAATAAATGAACAAATGGTTGTTTAAAGAAATAACACGTGAAACCCTGTCTCGAAAAACCAAAAAAAAAAAAAAAAAGAAAGATTTGACATATATTTCAAGCTAAAGCATAGCCATCTTCATACCTTCAAATCTGTTGGGTTAAGTAACTACAACAGGACTAGTGAAATGTTATTACATCTTTTAAAAAGTAGTGACCATCTCATATTTTTTAAAGGTGGGAAGGCCTATTTATCTATGTGATGCAAAATTATCTTCATACATACTTAGTAAAGAATTTTCAATGTGTCTTTTTCTGGGTCATCCACACTCTGCTCAAAAAATACCTTACCAATTTTTGTAATTAATCAGAATAATTTCATTGGTTCTCTAGTGTTAACATGTATTAATTTGAATTGTGGTATCATTGAGAACTCAAAAAGAGGAGAGAGACACTCTTGAATAAATATTCTCAATATAGATTGTAATTTAATAAGTTAGGCCTATTAAGTCTTATGGCATTAATAAAAATAAAATGCTAGAATGATGTAAAGTTTGAAATTGTTTTGTTAAAAGAAGGATTTATATATAAAGATTATGACATATGAATGTTTCCAAAATTGGGAAAATCTACAACATTTACAAGGTATGAAATTATAAGTGAGTTAAGGTGCACACAGTATGAGACTTAAAAGTAATAATAAAATCTCAGTGGAATAAGATTAACAATTATTTAAAAAACTGGATATAATTTAAGTTGAATTTTTCACTGTGTCAAGTCTACAGTGAGAAGAGTCAAAACACAGAGACAATTCCTTCAGTGCTTCCAAAAGAAATCACAGCATGGGCAAGCAAAACTCTTGACTTATGATGCTCACTGAAGGACAATAGCACATGAAAGGCCCTGGAACTTGATCCAGACTGGCAGAGATTCACATATCATCTTACCAAGCAAAACTCATGTTAACAATGATGCTAAACATATTTGCTCAAAATTTACCTCTTAGTGTTTCCCACAACTTTGTAACAT